CTCCCCCTCTGCCCCCTCTCTCAGCAGTGGCTCTGGAGATGGAGCCCAGGCTGGCTCTGTGCATGAATCCTACCACTGAGCTACAGCCTCAGGACTTTCCTACACTTTACAACTTGATTCCCTAAAACATAAAGGACACAAGACAAAAGATGGCAAATGATCATGAAAATGAAAACTCAGAGCTGACCACCACGGTTTACATTTTGATGCATTTTCTTGAAATTTCTTTTTTCTCTAGAACCTTATCCCCACTTTTTTGTTTGTTTTTGAGACATGGTCCCACTATGTAGTCCTGGCTGGCCTGAAATTCTCTGTACACCAGGTTGGCCTGGAACTCACGAATCGTCTTGCCTCTGCCTCCCAAGTACAGGGCTTACAAGCATGTAAGCTACTCTCTTCTCATCCTTTTCACCGTATCTAAGAAACAGCAGGCCCGTGCTCTCAGAGTCTGCCCAGGCACCAGCATCCATAAGTGATTTTCACTAGCTCTAGGCTGCTCCGCCAGAGCAATGTCTCCTCATCCATCTGACTCCCACAGGGGCTCCTAATAGTGTCTCTGTATTAGCACCAGCTAACTCTTTGTAGGTTAGCCTCCTTGTTCAGGAGCCTTGCTGACAGTCTCTCCTTTGTGCCTAGGACACCTTCTCAGAAGGGAAAAGGATCTAGTTTCCAGGACACAAACAGGTCGGTACCACCAAGCTCCTGCCAAATGGTCCTGTTGACCTTGGTCAGTGGTGCCTGACAAGGACAGAAGGCTGCTCGATGCTTTCGACCTCTGTCAATACCTTCAGGAGCTCACTCCTTCACTCAGAGACAGCCATATGTGTACATGAGTTAGCTGTACACTGTAAGGAGAGAGCTGCCTGATCATCTGCTCTGTGACTCTACACTGTTACTCCATACGCTTGTTCAGACTCTTCCCGAGCAGACACCATCTTCATTTTGTAGATGAGGAGACTGAGGCTGGATTTTAAAGAATTTGACTAAGGCCATCTAGTCAAATCTAGCTGATTGCCTGGGAATCAGCTGACTCGATCTCAGAATCAAAGGACCTCAGGGAGCTTTGTAGGGAGGAGGGTTGTGATGGCTTACCTAGTGTTTCACAGCTTGTGTTCCGTGAGCACTGCCCGCTATCTCTGTCCAGGGAGGACAGCTGCTCGTCTGACCGGCTGAGCTTGCCCGTGCTGCTGCAGGGAGACAGGCGAGGAGACTCACCACCGCAGGAGCGGCTGCCTCCTGACAGGCGCCTCTGGGAGTAACATTCAACATCAAAGTCCTTGGGAAGAATGGAAAGGAACTTCAGTAATCCTTGGGAAAGACAGCAGAGATCAGGGACAAGTAACTGGCATGCTCACTAGCTCAGAGAAAACACTGCCTAGCTCAGAGGCCATCTTTGATGTCAGTATAGGATCAGGCTGACAGGAAAAGGAACTGGGAGGACTATGAGAGTGCTTCAACAGGGATGCCCTTGGGAGATGCCCCATGTCATGGGGGCGGGGAGAGGGATAGCGATGGTTTGCCTTCCCACAAGTCTGCAGATGTGAGTAATAGTGGTCTAAAGACTTCCAGGTGACCTTCAGTACGCAATCCTCAAACTCCAATTGTATCCTCCTCCCCAACAGAACCAGGACTTCATTACCTGCCTATTGATTCCAACAGGCAAACTGGAGCCGCTGGTAGCCCGACTCATGGGAGCCACCACAGCCACCCGGGTAGGCGACGGAGCAGACTGCCTTTTCTTGGGTGGTAATGCTGGTGGACTAGAAAAGACAGAAAATCCAGGCAAACTGTACATCACAAACAAGAGTGATTTAGAATGCTTTTAGAGGAACAGGACATGCATGAAGCTTTTTCCACACTTAATTTTCTTTTCTTTTCTTTTTTTTTCTTTTCTTGGTTTTTCGAGACAGGGTTTCTCTGTATAGCCCTGGCTGTCCTGGAACTCACTCTGTAGACCAGGCTGGTCTCGAACTCAGAAATCCCCCTGCCTCTGCCTCCCAAGTACTGGGATTAAAGACGTGCCCCACCACCGCCCAGCCACAGTTAATTTTCATCCTTTAACTGCCTCCTCTTCTCCTCCTGTCAGTCAGTCTATCAAGGCTCAAAGTCTAGAACCAAAGAAGATTCTTTTCCTTCCATAGTAAATCATGACTGGTTTTTACTGGATAGAGACTGAAGCAAGCTGAAAGAGTACAGAGCCAGAGCCTGGCCACCTTCAGGGACATTCTTTTTAACAATGCCAAGCCACTTGAGCACTTACCCCAGGCTGCTGCTATCCTTCTGCTCATTCTACCACCTACTCCTCACATTAAGTCATAAATAGGTAGGCCCCATGGAAAAAAAAAATCCCCTCAAAAGAGCTTAGAATTACCTATTATCAACCACCCGGATGCCAGGTAAGGGGGGCTTGGGGGGCGCAACCTCATCACCGGTGGAGTCTGGGACCCGTTCAGTGGACGGTGACACACTTGTCTTGTTCAGGATTTCCATTTCTCGGTCTGTCAGAGGGAGCTCAGGCTGGCTGGAGAGATGGAAAGAACTCGGGATCACACAGAGTCAGAGAGTGTGTTGCTCCTGAGAGTGAGGGGGAGGGCTAAGGGGGAAATGGTCAAAGAAGGAGCCTCATGCACAGTCTTGGGGTTCCCATGGAGTTTCATCACTGGACAGCTACCAGGCTGCTCTAAAATAATGTGTCACATGTTTAACACGGGACAGTCCTTGAAACTAATATAAAATATTAAGGCTGTCCACATAAGGTCCTCCCTCAGATTACTGAAAAAACACTGCACCACTGGCCTCTGGGTTTGTTCTGTATCAGGATCCCATTGGCTGAACTACTAAAAAAATCCAAGGTCTCCCCCAACCTCTCAGCCAAGCCCTTGTGGAGTTTGTGGTGTGATGCTGCCTGGGCAGAACCAGGGGCTCAGAACCACTTCCTTCTGTACACTCTTACCCAGATGAGCTTGAAACTTATGTGAAATACACCTTTTAAAGCACCAGGCACTCACTCATCAGAACTTATCACTGGAAAGGGACCAGGGCTGCTCATGGCCTTGTCTCAAATACTCTCACTGCTTGCCTGGCTCCCTTCTTTGTTACGTGTAGGCTCAGTTTCAAAGTGTGTGGTTGGTCCCACTGGGACCAAGGAGTCTGTTCAGACTTACCCGTCAGGCTTGCTGGCTGGGGAACTAGGCTTCACTGGGCTTGTAGGTGATGGTCGCCCCTGCTTCTCAATGGTTAGCCTCACTAGCTCCTGTGAGGGAGAAGGGGCAGGGGAATGACACCACTGTACCTTTAGCAAGAGTCAGGGCTTCCAAGTCCCACATTTGTGTCCACACATTTCCTAGGCAGGGTAATCTGCACAGTCCTTAACATGCCCCTTTCTCTCAAAAAATACCATAGCAGTATACTGTAAAGTTTCAACTGCACTGTGTACTTCCTCTTGAAAGGGGAAATGACAAGTCTGGGTGTTTAGATGAACAGACCATGACACACTTGTATTCCTGTGCCGTCTGGGGAGAGTGGCAGATGCTTTTGGTTCCCTAAAGCTGTCATGTTAGGCACAGTGGTGCACTTAGCCATCTGGCTTCTGGCTTTTAGTGTTTTCCCAAAGTGCACTGACTTGGTCAAGGCAGGAACTGGAGCCCTAGTGGATTGTTGGGAGCCTTGTCAAAGAACTTAGAGTGAAGGTTGTGTGACCTCAAAGCAGAAAAATGGCATAGTAAGAAAATGAAAAATGGCCGGGCGGTGGTGGCGCATGCCTTTAATCCCAGCACTTGGGAGGCAGAGGCAGGTGGATTTCTGAGTTCGAGGCCAGCCTGGTCTACAGAGTGAGTTCCAGGACAGCCAGGGCTACACGGAGAAACCCTGTCTCAAAAAACCAAAAAAAAAAAAAAAAAAAAAGAAAATGAAAAATGGTACTTTAGCATTTACAAGGCAGAAAAGAGGGCAGATCAGGGGTGTAGTTTCTCAGCTGGGACATATTTATCCAGTTCCATGACTTTTTTTTTTTTTTTTTTTGAGGCAGGGGCTCTTTATGTAGAAGTGCTGAGGTTAAAGGCACGCACTACCAGTCCAGAGCACTTTAATGATGTTTCCCAGGTGCACAGTGTGACCATCACCTGGGGTATGAAGACCACTCTCACCCCTGTTCTTCCCTTCTGCCATCTCAGCACTCTGTACATTCTGCTCTGGATTGCTGTGGGCTTCCAGGATGGATATACATGGGGCTTTTTGGGACAGGGTCTCTTACTAGCACCTGAAGATCACTGAGCACACGGAGTAGGTGAGGACAGATGGCCAGAATGCTCTAGGGATCCATCCATCTGTCTCTTGGTTCCCTAGTGCTGGGATTACAATTATGGCCACCACACCTGGCTTTTTCTGTGCATTGTGAGGACTGAACTCTGGTCATGACTGTGTGGGAAGTACTTTACAGAATACATGTGCGATCCTTAACACAACTTTTAGAACAGAAATTTTGTACCTATGCAGTCCCCTCCCTCTCCTGCCGCCCCTGGCAACTACCACTCTCTTCTTGGCCACTCCCACCTGCCTCAGCCTCAGCACTCCACCTTCTTTGGGAAGCTCGAGCTGGCTCTTTTTTTTTTTTTTTTTTTTTACTGCTGAGCAGTGCTCTGGTATATTGCCTCACACAATCTCCTCACTGCTCTCTGCTGACAGCTGCTGGTGATAGCCTGTGTGCACGAGGGAAGAGCACATATTACCTCTGAGGATGCAGAGCTGGGTACCTAACCACGTCTCCCTGACCAGGGGCTAAGAATTAGCATTTCCCGAAGCAGCTTCTTTTGACAACATAAAAACTATGAAAAAAGATAAACATACAAAAAGAAATATTAAGAGCTTCTCAAGTTTGATGGCAACAAAATAAAACTTGCAGACACAGGGTGGGGTGGGGCAGGATGGGATCAGATAGAATGGGGTATCACTCTGGGCAGCAGGGATGGTCCAGTGGATGACCTACTGGCATGTATCAAAAGCCTCAAATATCTGTTAGAAGGATTCTGTCTGAGGAAAATGTCATGGATATATGCAAAAGCTCAGCTCTGGAGGATGTCACCAGAGGTAAAATGAGACTGTTCGACAGCCCACAGGTAAATACCCACTAAAGTACCAAGTATGCAGATGTGTTAGACCCATCAAGGGGCCAATTCTGAAGTCAGCAAGAATAAAGTCACAGCAGAACACAGGTCACAGCAACAGCATGGAAAGATGGTGGAATGCCAGGAACACTGGGTGCAGAAAAGTCCTACCTGCTTTGCTGGGGTACACTATAAATTTTGGAAACAAGATCGAAAACCCTTTTTTGTGTTTTTTTTTTTAATTTATTTTTTCACTTGTATCTTCTAAATTTTCAAAAATGGACATAGATTAGTTCTAAGGAAACCGCCTACCCCACACCATGAGAGAGGTGTCCACAGAACCAGACCCAGGCTCACCCCATTCTGTTCTTGGAGCCACGTGGAAAGTGAGATCCATGGGAGGCTGAGGCTAGCCCAGGAAAGGGGCCTTCTGCTTGTTGCCACAATTCAGAGCACAAGTGATAGAGGGATGTGAAGGGAAAGCAGCTGGAGGCAGGCTGCTCCCAACTCACTGCCTGGAGAAGTGTGCAGGAGTGCCCCACAGCCTTGGCTGGGATCAGAGTGTCAGACCCACAGAACTCGGAAGCCTTGAATTCTCCATCTTTCTGCCTCAGCATCACGAGCGTCACCAGGTTAAGCCAAACTTACTCCAGCAAGCAGGATAAAGGAATGCAGAGAAGTCTTTACATTTGTACCTGCTAACACAGAACAAATTCCAGTTCCTCCTGACGTGGGAGCAGGCAAGGAAGCTGTCCTCTTGGAATGGCAGCTGTGACCTCAACTAATGAACAATGGATAGCTATAGGATCCTGGGATGACAAGCACACACTTGCAATTGTGCCCTGAAATTCCAAGACCACATTATGACAAGTGGAGGCTGGGAAAGGGGCGGGCAGCTTTTCTTTCTCTGCCAATCTTCCTGCCCAAACAGAAGGGCTTTGGTCTCAACTTGTCTTAATGATCACACACAGAAAGCTCCAGAAACCTCTTCCATCTAGGTACTTCCAATACCCTGGTCTCACTGAGTGTTCACCACCTGTGACTAAGCCAGGGCTCAATACCCTGTGAAACGTCAAATCTCTTCTCAAAGACAGTCTTTTAAATTAATTGCTAGAGGGCACAAGGTCAGTTAGAAAAGATCGTTTTGGACTCTTCTGCCAACAACTATCCATGAGACTGACATTCAGTTCATTGAAAATCAGTTTTCAGAAGTCAAAAACCACATCTGAAGATTTTCCTAAGAACATGAGCCTATGTTCTGATGCTCACGGTGTTCATGTTCACCACGACAAGTCAGCACACAGCTCTGAATCTGAATGTCTTGGTTCCCACTTCCTCTCCACTTTCTCCTGAAATGATACAAAGACCTGCCTTGCAGAAGGGCTCACACTGCTATGATAGTCCTGGCACAAAGAAGCCCAAGGAAAGCATGGTAAACAGTGTTCCCTAGGTTCTCACAGTGAGGACCACTCCACTGGGAATACCACAGCTATAGCCCAGATCGTCTATCAACCCCTTACTCTCTGACTCTATTCTCTGGGTGCAGTGCCAGGGCACAGGAAGTCTGCAGTTACACACCAAGGCTCAGTGCCACCCTCTAGTTCTTCACATACTTTGGGAGAGGGTCAGGTCTGGTCTGACACATGAACAACACACTGGCTCATGGGGACTGGGGTAGTAGATTCCTGTGACAGGAGCTACAGGACACGATCCCAGGAATGTCCAGCCCCAGAGTGACTTTGTTGTTTTGCTTTGTGTTTTTGAGACAAGGTCTCTCTATGTATTCCTGGCTGACCTAGACTTTTTCTATGTAGACCAGGCTGGCCTCTAACTCAGAGATCCTCCTGCCTCTGCCATCACACTCAGCCCCCAGAGTGACTTGTAATGGAAACATCAGGGGACTCTCTCTGCCCACACCTAAAGTGGCAGTAAGAAGTGGCAAGCGGAGGGATGCTCTCAGTTGTACACACAGCCCAGCAGTACAAGGCTTGCTGTGTACAGTACAGACGGAGACGGATAACAACTGCTTGAAGAACAACTGGCATTCCTCACACAGGCCTGACACAGAGGACTTCAGGTAACTGGTTGGCTGGGAAGCAGCATTGGCTAGGGAGCTGCATAACTTCTTTTTTAAGACAGGTTTTCTCTGTGTTGCCCTGGCTGTCCTGGAACTCACTCTATAGATCAGGCTAGCCTAAACTCAGAGATCCACCTGCCTTGGCCTCCTGAATGCTGGGATTAAAGGTGTGTGCCACTACCACCTGAGCTACAGAACAATTAAAACTAGAAACACCAGGCAGAGGATGCTAGGAAACAGTCCTAACTTTGAAAACTGTGTATGTAAGGAAGCGACAAGCTTTGTATAACAACCACAAGGGGAAGTCTCTCTTTCAAACTCATCCTGGCTGTTGATGGGAAACGGCAGAAGGAATCTTGTCTGTCACAGTTTGAAAACTCTGGAGCACAGTGGTCACAACCAACAATAGTGCCCCCAAAAGGGGCACCTTTCCTGGAAGCACAGTGCTATCTAGAAATTTCTTTTCTCCACTAACAAACTGATTGGGTTCTGGCCTCTAGCTTTACAGGAATCCAAGGGGCAGAGGGACATGTTAAGCAGCACCACAAGGGTGCCTCTGACTAATTGTACACTGCCAACTTTCAGAAGTAATAACTCTAAGATAAATTCTCTAAGCTTTAAATGAACAAAATTCGGCTGGAGAGATACTCAGCAGTAAAGAGCACTGGTTGCTTTTGTAGAGGACGCAGGTCTGGTTCCCAGTACCTACACAGGGCAGTTTAACAGTTAACAGTTGCCTGTTAACTCTGACTCCAGGGGATCTGATAACTCCTCTGGCCCCTGTAGGCACTACACACATGTGACACACATACAGAAAAGAAGGCCCACATATATAAATATAAATAAAATTTTAAATAAACCAAAGCCCCAAAGTTTCAAGGAGGAGGAGGAGGAAGAGGAAGAAGAGGAAGAGGAGGAGGGAAAGGAGGAGGAAAAAGAGGAGGAGGAGGAGGAAGAGGAGGAGGAAGAAGAGGAGGGGAAACAACGACATCCATTTGCTGCTGCTGCTGCTCACAGAGATGATGCTATCCACTGGCTCTGTCTGGGTCCTGGATTTTAAAAAATAAACCTTTTAAAAATAGTAAACCATAGGCTGGAGAGATGGCTCAGCGGTTAAGAGCACTGACTGCTCTTCCAGAGGTCCTGAGTTCAATTCCCAGCAACCACATGGTGGCTCGAAACCATCTGTAATGGAATCTGATGCCCTCTTCTGGTGTGTCTGAAGACAGCTACAGTGTACTCATATAAATAAATGCATACATTCAAAAAAAAATCTTTTAAAAAAATAGTAAATCACACTCTGAAGGCCAAAACTAGCTAAGGACTTGTTTTTAGAATGCTCTCAAGTTAGGGCTAGCTCAAACAATAAGAGCACCAAACAAGGACTGTACAACAGGATGTGTGCCTGGAAAGGCTGAGAATACTTGTCCTTGGTCCTTATAGGACAAGCTCACCCTGCTCCAGTGGGCATGTGGAAGTGCCAGGAAGTGTGGAGGTGTCACTCGGGATTTGCATCCTGCAATATGGGGAGCCAGTGAATGAGGAAAGGAAATCACAGTGACCATACATGAACATGAGTGACCTGGTGAGGCCTGATGCAACTCTGGCCAATAAAATGCAAGGAAAATTCTGTAAGGAGCTCTAAGAAGCCTCCTTCAAAGGAGAAGGTAACTTTGCACCTCTTCTTCCTTGTCTGAATGTAGCCATGGTAACTGGAGAGGAAGCAGCTATTGTGCATGACTGAGTAGAACCTGTGTGTTACTGACAGTAGAAAATCTCACACTAGCCTTTGTCTATCTCTGAACTTTACATGTGAAAAATAACATTTTATTTTTGTGTCACATATGGAGACCAGAGGTAGGGCCTTCTCTTGCATTGGGACCTGGCTGATGTGGCCAGACCATCTCATCAACAAGAAATTGGAATTGCCTGTTTCTACCTCTCTTAGTGCTAGGATCATGGGTACATGTTGCTATGACTGGTTATTTATTCATTTTTTTTTTATCATGGGTGCTTGGGCTCCAAATTCATCTCTACAAGTTTATATTCAAGCACTTTATGACTGTGCCATTTCCCAATCCCTCCAAAAGTTTGATGTCTAAAAATTTTTGCATTAACTGATGGGTTGATTGTGTGTGCATGCAGATGCATGTGCCACAGTTCCCACGTGGAGGTCAGAGGACAGTGTGAGGGAGCTGGGTTCTGAGGGTCAGATCAAGTCAGGTTTGTAGGCAGGCACTCTTCGCTGCTGAGCCATCTGACCAGCTGCAAAAGTTCCATCTTTAAAAGCTTCTGCTTGTTTGTGTTTTCTGGCCTGGCTGCTATCCTTAGAAAACCTCTGAGACTGCTATGCAAGTACAGTTCTGGCGGTGATGGTCAAGTGACAAAGCTATGGGATTCCCCAAGGCTTTCAGTGGAAGAAATCATTACAAGTTTTTTTCTGTGTGTGTTTGTGTAAGTGTCCAGATGCCCATGGAGGTCAAGAAAATGGAGTTCTACATGAGCCACAGATGCTAGAGAACAGAACATGGATCCTCCAGAAGAAAAGGGAGTATTCTTAGCCACTGAATATTATTAATCTATTGTTAGTATTCTAGCCCATATTATTATTTTAAATGATAATATTTCAGTCTGTATGAGTGGCTGGAGGCTGGGGATACAAAGGCCTGTTCCTGACATTTCTGAAGGCAAAAAGTGCCATGTCTGAGGTCAGAGGAGAAGTGGGCACAGTACAGAAGATCTGAAACTTGTGAGTTGCTCTAGAGGGAGACACAATTCTCACCCAAGACGTAAATGTGAGCTACTCTAGTGAAAGTTGCCACAGTGATCAGAGTTTACCCTGCCTGTTAGCCACCCAGCACTTGCCAGTACTCCAAAGACACAAGCTTACCTCTCCTCACACACTCAGGGTATTTTTTTGTTTGCTTGTTTGGTTTTTGTTTTTCAAGACAGGGTTTCTCTGTGTAGCCCTGGCTGTCCTGGAACTCACTCTGTAGACCAGGCTGGCCTCGAACTCAGAAATCCTCCTGCCTCTGCCTCCCAAGTGCTGGAATTAAAGATGTGCACCACCACTGCCTGGCCACACTCAGGGTATTTAAGAACTTACAAGAATCTCAGAGTCACTTGTCTGAGGTTACAGAGCTCACAAGTGGCAATTATGTGAAGATTTACAAGGCAGATGACAGTGTACTTGTAGGAACAGTACCAAAACCATCTGCCTTTCAGACAAGTTTTCAGTCTTACCCCAACCCCACCCCAAACAATTCCACTTACAACTGAATAAGCCCCTGAGGGGTGGTGAGTCACTCTGAAGGAATGTGCCCTTTCTCTTCTACTTGGGAAGAAGACAACCAGCTAAAGCATTTGTGCTTGCACACTCCTGGCTCTCCAGTTGAGGGGGCTTAATCACACACCAGGACCCAGGCTTATGAGGTGTCCGTGTTAGGGAGGATGAATGAGAAGAATCCTTTGGGTTGACTCTCCTAGGACCGGGCAGCAGAGGGTGACTAAGTGCCGAGGCCCAGCAGGCATGGGTGAGAATCCTGAGCTTGCCACTGAACCTTGGTCGGCCCACCAGTGAAGGGGTTTGCCTCAGTCAGAGGGCTGCTGCAGTACAAAGCTGGGCAGTGTAAAGGAGCATCCACTCACTGTTTGCTATTATTAATATAAGATACTAATCATAAATGCCCATGCTGACCAATCTCATTCCTTCACTAACACCCTCTAGAAGAAGCTTCTAGTAACACATGCCAGCTGACTAGACTCCTCCTGGGATTTTCTCTGACTTCCCTGTCCCTGCATTGGCACGAACACTCCTTGCTGTGGCACATGGCATCCTTTTATGTAACCTGAAGCTCCCTAAGGCCAGGCCCGTGACCCTGTCTTCACCTCTGTGTGTACTCATGTTACAGCATCCCAGAGAACACAGAGCTCCTTACCTACTAAATACCTGTATGTGTGCTAGTGTGCTAGTGTGCTAGTGTGCTTGTGCATGTGTCTGCACCTGTGTATGCATGCGTGTGCATGCTCACCTGCATGGTCATGTGTGTGCAGGTCAGAGGACAACTTTTCAGAGTCTGTTTTCTCCAAGACAGTCTCTCTGTTATTTCTGCCCCAGGATTCTCCTGGCTTTGCCTTCCACATTGTTGATCCTCCTCCTTACACTGTTCTGGCTACATTATTAAAAAAAAAAAAAAAAAAAAAAAGAAACCTATAAACAAGTTATTTTCACTCGGGCTGGCATGTTCAAGTTCTACAGGCTGTGTGTGTGCGCTCCCATCCCTCAGGGGCACACTGAGAAATCAGCAATTTTTCATTCAAGCATTCCTTCTGCCAACCAGTATAGCCCTGCTCTCAGGAGTCCATAAGGAACATGGACTCTGGAGTCCCGAAGCTTCTGTGGAAACCTGGTCTCTTGTTTCAGCTGTTTTAACTTTGGACATTTCACCAAGATCAACTTGATAGAAGAAAGCCTAGACAATGTCATCTGGAAAATAATTTTGATTTCCAGAAGCTAGGACAAGAGCAGCAAGAGTGGGCCAGTCGGCCAAAAAGCATGGGAAGGTCATGTCTCACTGCCCAGCCAGAGAGGGTGTGGGAAGAACTGAGGGGATAAAGCACCCCAAATATTACAGAGACTATGGTCAACACCCACAGCCTCTTAACACTGATGGTAACAAGTCTGACTGCTTGTGATAAGAGAGCACAGGAGCAGTCAGTGGAGAACCGTGTAGCTTGTCGTTTCTCCTTCTCAAAGTGAACCCAAAGTCCCCTGTAGACACAGTAGCACATCAATCACCTCTACTTTAAAGGTGCTTGGGCTTTAGCTAACAGCCCATTTGAGAGCGATTTCTCTCACCAAGCAAGGCCTCATTGGCCTTCTCTCTGTAATTAAAACCCTTAGCTCTGTTTTCCAGAGCTTCTAAAGAATACTACACCAAGATGCGTGTTTCTGGAGCTTCATGGCCTGGTTGAGCAGGGAAGCTTGTCTGACGTAGGCTAACCGTGTGGCTATAATTCTGGATTGAGGGTCTACAGAAGGGACACAGCTTTCCCAAGCCACATCTATCAAGCACGCGTTTAGCAGCACATAATGAACAATGAACAGTGCGAAAGCCTCTGGCTAAGTGTATCCCAGCACTGACTGATCTAAGCCTGCGATGCCGCCATGCAGGGCCCTACTATAACCCTTGCTTCTGGGTACGTTCATGAGCCATCATCAAGATGAACTAAGCTAGTAAACTGCCCAAGCCCACAGACTACTCAGTGATGAATTTAGGACTTAACACATTTCACCTGCCTAATAAGGCCTCTAAGAACAGTGTCTCCTGGCTGCTGCAAGGCCCTTGTCATTTCATGCCCTCCACTCAGCTTTGCTTCATCTACTGGGATTGATAGTCTTACTCTGGCTTCTGGGCCCAACTCCAGGCCCTTTATAGTCTTTGCTTCCCCTCCAACTGTGACACCTAATCTTCTGAGGCTCCCTGCAATGGTCTGGATAGTAAACATGCTGACCACATCACGGAGATCAAGCACGTTCAGCTTCACCTGCCTCAGCGCTGCTTTCCACCAGGAATCCTACGCTTGTATCGCATGAAAAGGTAGTGGTTGATATCCTGGGGCTTTTGCTAAAAGCACAAACAATCTCCATCGTATCAAGCTGGTGCACACTCTGCCACACCTGGGACATAGAGTCCACAGAGGACTTAATGCCAGATGCAGGAAGGGCTGATGGCTTCTGAGAGTGAAGCAGTGACTGGACAGAACTAGAGCTGGCCCATATCACAGCTTTTGGAACACATTCACCCTGTGTATGGTCTAAAATCAAGTTCTTAGCTTCCTTCGGCTGGCTGCCTCATCAGGGCCACCTGGAACCTGCCCTTACCTTCACTCCATCCAGCACAGCTTTGATGACGCCCTTCACAGTCGTCACCATCTCCTTATCTTCCGAGTTCACACCCTCTAGCATCACCTGGTCAGACCATCTGATAAGGTTGGCAAGGCTCTGGTACACTCGGCTATAGCAGGAGGAGAGGGCTGAGCTATGGGGAGGAAAGTTTTAAAAGAACATTAAAGATCAACCTGCACCATGACCCTCATACCTAGAGAACACTCAGGCAAGGCTAGCTAACATCTTAGTGTCCAGGGAACATTTTTTTTTTTTTTAAATAAAATCCATGTTTTGTTTTGATTTGTTTTGTTTTTGAGACAGGGTTACTTTGTAGCCAAGACTAGCCTTGACTTCTTAATTCTTCTGCCTCAGCCTCCTGGGTATGAGATGACAGGTAAGTGCTATCATGCCCAGTTCATCTGCATTTTTTTTAAACTTTGTTTTCCATCATATTTACTCTGTGTGTGTGTGTGTGTGTGTGTGTGTGTGTGTGTGTATGTGTGTATCAGAGGAAGGACTCCTGGTGTTCTGTTTTATCACTCTCTCCTTTATTTTTCTGAGAGTTTCTTAGTGACACTGCAGTGAGGCTGGTGGCCGGTGAGCCCCAGTGACCCTCCCATCACTGCCCTAGAACACTGGATTTGTGTAGATGCTAGGATTTGAACTCAGATCCTCATGATTGCCTGGTGGGTGCTATTACCCTCGGAAGCATCTGATCAGCTTCCACTACAAACATATATATATATTTTTTCCCTCAAATTTATCATAAAAATTTTATTCTAGTAGTTTCTTCAAATGTCACATTCCTCTACAACATCCTGAGAACATCTCTTTGCTCATTTCAGTTGCAAACCACTTGACTGGGTAGAGCTTTGTGTATTTCCTGTTTTGAATGAGTTTGACAGTCATTTTGATGGACCAGAGTCAACAGGTTTGAGGGACTCTGGTGTTGGGACCATGGCTAGCCAGGCATTGTGAGAACTGGCTGTGGTGTGACAGACCTTCCTTACCCTTGATCTGCTTCATCATCCTCGTGAGGCAGCTGTGGCTAGGTAGAGAGGATTTCAAAGACTGCAAGTGGCCTGTCGTGTGGTGAGTGTGCGCTCACATGCGTGTGCTCACAGCAGCAGCCTCCACTCACACCGTGAGGACAACACACAAAATACAAGTCCTTGGTATTTGGGAACATTAGTGTGGTACAACAGCAGCCCAAGCCCACAATTCTTACAGATTCCACATACTTTTTTTTTTTTTGTTAAACTAATTAAAGTTTTTAAGATAGGGTCTCACTATGTAGCCCTGGCTAACCTGAAAATGACTATATAGACCTTGGCCTTATAGAAATCTGATTGCCTCTGCCTCCTGAGAGCTAGGATCATATATGCCACCATGCTCTGACCTTAAACATGAGGTTTCTTAAGGGATCTAGAAAGGGTTACTGTTCTCATTTCAAACTTTGTACATTGTAACAGAAGAGCAAAAGCAGTTACTCCATCACTACTGAGGCAGACACTTAGAAACCAAGGGTGCGATTCAGAGAGAACAACACAATATTGTAAGACCTGACTGATGTGGGTTCTAACACTAGTCTTTAGGCATTTTACCAATGACACTTATCACGTGCAACAGCATGGGGAGGGAGCTAAGCTTTCTGCCAGCCACGGCTGCACTCTGCACGCACCAACAGAACAGTCAAGCCAGTAAAAAGGAAAGCAAATCCCTTCTGTCCCTGAGAATGAACAGAACTGTTCAAGATGCTTGGGGATGGTGTCAAGGCGTCACAGGAATGAGAGGCCTTCCCCACTGGAAGGGGTTGACCCAGTCCTGCAGCCTGTCTGGCAGCTGAAGTGCCTCTGGGGGCATGCCTGATACTAGCCTTAGGTTCTCTGAGTTTTTTGTTCTCCTACTCCCTGCCAATCTAGCTGTTTTCCCCCAGCATCCTCTATTTCTTCTCCTCAGGGAAGCAGGACAGGACCACTGTAGCTCCTTCTTTAATGTGTACCACATAATCACCACATCATCATGTGTTAGGGAGCTCAACCTTAACTTGATTTTAACTCTTTCCTGGTGGAGGCCATCACATGAGGACACAGGAATGATAGCATCTAGAGTTAGCCTAACATCTGATAGTCTAATGTCAGACTCTTTTTCTCAAAGGAGACCTGAGCCTGCCACAGAGTAAACTAAGGGAGAGCCATGGTACAGACAGCAGCACAGTGAGCCAAAGGCCACAGTCCTCAGGGGTTAGCCAGCAGAAGCTGGGGTGGAAGTCCTAGGCAGAACATTTCTTGGGAATAAAGACACAGAGTTTGCTATATCTCTCAGAAGAAAATTGTGAACTTCATTGCCAAGTTCAGAAAACCATTCATAAAAGCTCAGTCTCATGGGGTTAAATGGACACACAGAGACGCATCGATTATTAACGTGTACCACGGGCAAAGCCCTGGACCTGCCAGTCTCTTCAGCAAAGTTTCCTCAAGCTTGGGGATTGCATCTAGCATGGCGTTCCTTGAGATACTTAATAATAAATGTGGGGCAAGCTAACCTGTAGGAAGAAAACACTCTAGCAATCAAAGGCTGCCCAGGAGGTCTTGGCCTGGCACAGGCAAGGGCAACACTACACCTTGTTTTATCAGATGATAATTCTAGCAGCTGAGGACTTTAACAACACGATTGAAGGTCATGGTAAGTGACAATGGAGGCTCTGAGAATACATCCAACCCAACGTGATCAGCGATACTGAGCCCATGCACAGGATAAAGCCACAGCTCAGAGGGTACTGGCATTGGCCAGGAGGTGGACTCAGCCAGCACACAGGCCTCTGGAGGAGCAACTGCCTCAAAGCTGAGAAGTGAGGACTCCTTTCTTAAATGTCTCAAACCAAGGTAAGGACCCTCTGGGGGACTCACCTGTGCTGGATCCGAGGGTCAGTCTGCACCAGGGGTAAGATGGCCTCCAGCACCTTGCTGGCTGACCCTGGGAGCATCTCCAGGACCTTCTTATCAATGGCCATTTTGTCCACAATGGTCTTAAAGTAGCGCAAGGCACTGACAACCTCCTTCTCTTTCTCCTCCAGCCAGCACAGGTTCTGAAAGGGAATGCCACATTTAAGGAATGAGAGGAGATTAAAGGGATCGATTCTGAAAACAGCGAAATCTATAAACTAGCTCGACATTCCTGTAAATGGAAAACGCTTTGGCAGCAGAGACCAAGCCAGATGGTTTCTCTAAGGACTGTGATCAGGAGACAGAGATTAACAGGAAGAAGATAGGCTTAGGACTAGAAGGGTCATTTGGAGACTTGGGGATTCCCTTCCCACACTCTGAGATCCTAAAAATATTCTTCTCTGTTCTTATTGGCTACCTGAGATACCACTTCCGTCCCCCACTGTGCAGTGAGGTCTCAGTGAGGACATAAGGGAGCAACAGTTATGCCCCAGGACATATACATTCAGCAGAGGATTTGAGGAACTGGCAGCATCACAGCCCATCCACCTAGATCCTCACATACACCTATTCAAACCTGTAGTCCCTTTCCATTAAAGAGACATGACTTCCAAGAACACTAATGCCCGTGTTGGAAGGAGGGGCCAAGGGAGCCAGAGCCAGTGTTAGTGACTCAGTGACTACTGGTGCTACAGCTGCTAACAGCACTTGGGGAAAAGGAAAGCCACCTGAAGGGGGAAAAATAAAGCCAGTGCCCAACTTTCCAGAACTCCTCCTAACTCTGCATTCTTTCCCCCTTGACTGTGGGTAGCCTAGATCCACACCTAGCAGGGGGCAGGCACATAGCGCTAGTCCCCTTTCCTCAGCCTCCCTTCTCCAGTGGCCCAGATCCCAGACACTGAGAGTCATCTCAAGTGGACAGTTCCACAAACAGACAGCCCACAGAAGGAGTGAGGAGGGCTTCCTAAGGTCCAGAGAGTGTGAATAACAGCAACTGAGGGAAAGAGACTTAAGCAATAATATATAAATACATGAGTGGCAGAAAATTATAAAAAGTAACTATTCTTTTGAATACTAAATCTCCCCCATCTCCAGATAATGTCAGGGAGTATAATTTAAAACTTTAAAACTCCAATATGGGAGGCTATTTCATAGGACCCCCCCCAAAAAAAATTCTCTATATACATGGATGGAATCAAGTAAATGAAATTCAGCCAGATAACTGCCAAAGGCCTGGTGTGGCTTCCTGTGTTCTCTGCAGACCACCGGGACCACGCAGCCTTCCTTGCTGAGAAGTGTCCTGTTTTCCCATCTCTACCTGAAGCATTCACTTCTAATCTGTCTCTAAGAGGCTGAGCACTGGTTTCTCTACTTCCTGGATAAGAGTGCTCAGCTTCACCACACCCCAGCCTGGCTGGGCCAGCCTGAGTAATCAGGCCACACAGGTAGCACTCCTGAGAGCATGTAAAGCAGGCTACATGAAGAGGAGGAAGAGGAAGAGGAGGAGAAAGAGGAGGAAGGGGAGGAGAAAGGACAGGGTTGTCTTGGCACATCACAACCTGCTGGAAGGCAAGAGTGATAAACTTGCTAGGGAAACAGGAAGTATTTAAAGAAAACACATAAGACAGACATATAGGCAAGAGTGAACGGGAGCTGGGAACGGTTGAAGTGCAGGCGCTTTGGAGTAGAAAGGCTTTTCCTGCCACTGAGGAGAGATTAAATCAGGCACATAAGAGTCAGGCCAGCTGGACTTAGTGAAGGGCTAAGTAAAGACTCAGCAAAGTCAGGTAGCATCAGTATCTTCTTCTCCCAAGTCCCATGCCTTAATTATGGTCTCTATGCTCTGCACTCCTTGAGCCTTTCGGGCTGTAGACTGTAGTTAGCAGTCAGAATCAGTTATACACATAACATACATAGCACTGGCTATGGCTGGTCTATAAAGTCATCCCAGAATGACTGTCATCCTACATACCTGTCCTCCCCAGGGGAGCAGTTGCTACCACTTATAGGCTTGGTAAGTCTATGAGGTTGTCAATCTTGGGAAGGGCCTAGATTCAAGGCCAAGCTGGACTTGGGAACAGTAGATTCCAGCTCCTTGTCTGTGGGACAGGTGAATGTATCTGCCCCATGTTATTAAGGAAGTCAAAGTGGGCGGCAGCTGGAGCTCAGCCACCAAACACTTGCCTATCCTAAGCCAGGCATGGGTTCCCCAGCAGCAAAAAAACAAAACAAAACAAAAACCAACCAAACAAAAAAACCCCAACCAACCAAAACCAAAACACCAGTCAAAGAAACACAGAAACAACAATGGAGGTGAAGACTGACTGGGCGAGGAAGGGAACCACTAATAACTGAAGAGACACTACACTGGGGTCAGAGTGAAAACTCAGAGGAGGGTGACAGAGGCTGTAAAAGTCTGAGTGCAGAGGAGAGGGCCAGGTCACAGTGGCCGCTCTGAGCGCTTCAAGCCACACAGAGCTCTGCATTTGTTTCCATTCAGGCTGTAACCTCCCCAACAGAACAGATGCTATTAATTCATAAGTGGGGAAATTGAGGCTGTGTGGGGAGTGGGTAGAAAAGATAACCTGCCCAAGGCTCCACAGCTAAGTAACAAAATTATAACACAAACCTGGTAGGCTTCATTCCCCAGCCTGGACAGTACAAACAAGGCAAATCCAAAGTGCAGTGAAGCTGATGTGGCAGCGCATGTCATACCTGCAGCGCTGGTGAGGGGACCAGCCTAAGCAACATGGTCAGACCTGCTCTCACACACCTGGTTCCAGCAACACAGGAAGACAATCAGAGATTTGGGACGGCCTAGACAACACAGCAAACAGTACCCACACCACATGCATGCACACACGTGTACACAAAGGTACATGTGTGTCCTAGGGAGTCCTGTGTTCCAAGCTCTTATTTAATAAATGAGTAAAGAGGGCACAGGTGGGTGGAAGCTGACCTGTGCTTTTCTGTCCTGAGAAAAGGAAAAGGAAGGAACACAAAATGGCCTGTCTTCAGCTATTGCCTCACATCAGAGCGGCATTAGACATCCAGTGTGTACCTTTAGAACCCCTACTCCACGGGCTTCACGGAAAGTAAACTGCGTTCACAGCACTGGAGGACAGTGAATCAGGTAGTCACGGGCCAAATCATGGGTAGGGAGCAATTAGAAACAGCATATACAAAACTGGAACCAGGTTGGGTTGACTGCATACCTTTAATGTCTATACTGGGAAGTCTCTGTGAGTTCCAGACTAGTCTGGTCACACAGCAAGTTTCAGGACAGTCAGGGCTACAACAGTACAACACAACACAACATAGCAAAACACAAAAAACTGGAACCAGGATTGTATAAAGAAAACTCAACATCTTTCCTTCTCTGTACCTGCCAGCCAGGCCCTACAAGGCACGTCTAACAGAGCTCAGCTGTGCCAGGCTTTGCAGCAGGGTAATCTCTCTGTCTGCTTTACACAGACGATCCACAGAGCTAAAAGGGAAGCCCTTCAAGAGTCCACAGTGGAGCCCCTGGATCCAGCCAATATCTAGGTGCCGGAAGGAAGGCTGGAGAACTCACCCAATCTGAGCCCTTCTGGATGATGTTAACTGCTCATATGACGATGATTAGCTTTGGACTTTCATGAACTTTCTCTGCTACATTTAACAATCCACAGCTCACTGCGAGGCTTGCTAAAAGGTTGTAAAAGAGCTGACATTTTTTCCTATGAGAAGACCACTGTGTCTAGATAAAGCCGGACTGGAAAGACAGATGGAATACAACAGATAAAACAGACTTAATTAGAACACGTGGGCTCCAGCCAATACTGTCTAATAGAAGTGACAAAGCCTCTCCACACAGCTAGAGAACAAATAGGACAACAGGTGTGACGCCACAGAGACAGGGGCTGGAGAAAGAAGCTCAGGAAACAGCAGTAGTGTAGCTCTGCACTGAACTTCAAATCCCCGTATATTTAATAAGAAAAGTCACAAGTGGGCTAACATGAAACATATATGCAAATGCTCTGTAAGAGGTGAGAGAGACAGTGAATGACAAATGATGACAGCAACTTCTCCACACAAGGTTTCTGGACACTGTCCTCTCATCTATGTGCTGTGGCAGGGTCCATCCTGGGGCCTGCACTAAACAGCAGTCCACACTCAAGGGCCTTGGGACCAGCAGGGGTGAGTTTTAAGTACCAGGCTGTGCCTGCAGCTCCTGCTATAGGGCAGTCTCACTTCAGCACCCTGCAGCTACAGGACGGTCACCAGCAAGCTGGCTCCAATCCACTGGATGTCTAGCAGTTCCTGCTTCATTCTCCTAACTGACAACAGCATTCTCTTGCAGAGCACAGTCAATAAGCCAGTTAGGGAACATGGCCTAAAGGTGTGAGCTCCAAGAGAGCGTTGTGCATGCTACGACAGAGACCAAACCTCTCTCTGCTCAAGCCTCTTCTATACAGAAGTAGTGTATCTGATAATCAAGTAGTGCCTTGTTCACAGGCAGCAATTCATTCAACAGAAGTTTCTGGGCTTTCAAATCCTATTTTTTCTACCTATAACTAGACTTAAGGTATGCTGCTTGTCCACATAGACAGGGCAGTGTCTGTGAGCCACATCAAGCTGACAGTTATGACAGTAGGTCTTTGATCAATCACCCTTGGGGATCAGCTCTGCCTAAGCACCCGATGGACCCCTCTCTTGAAAGGACCCAAAATTTGGCTGCACATGGACCACTTTACTAAGTGTATTTTTAGTGTAAAGACAAGCATTCAGATCTGTAAGAGATTAACACATCTGGGCTTGACTTCTTAAAGAAGACATATGGTGGCTGGCACACATCAGGGATCCTAGTATTCAGGAGGCAGAGGCAGGAGAATTGCACATTAAGACCAGCTTCTTGGGCTAGACAGCCATGTACTGTCTTAAAACAAAACAAAACAAAACAAAACAAAACAAAACAAAACAAAACAAAACAAAACAAAACTCCAGGGCTGCCATAGTCAGGATAAAGCTTACCTAGAATACACAAGATCCCATCAGACCCTCAGCACCACAGAAAAGCACTAGTCAGGCTCTGCATTTAACTTAATCGCTGCTTTGTGGCTTTTGCTAAATTCCTCCATCTTTCGAGAGACTTTCTTTCTAAGCAGGACAGGTTTCACTGCCAGGGCTGTTGGGAGAGGGTTCTCCTAAGCACTCAGCAGGAGGCAGGGAAGAGGTCAGGTCAGTGCCCGTGCTGCTGACCAGGCGCCCTTGCTAAGAACTTTGAGCTGAGACAGCCTCCCAAGGCTTTAGAGCCTACTCAATAAACAATGCACAGAACCTCAGCAACTCAGGGAGAGAGGAACCACTCTGGAAAGGTGATACTTCTCCATCTGCCTAAGCACCCGATAGACCCCTCTCTTGAAAGGACCCAAAATTTGTCTGCACAGTCTGAGCTTCCTCCCCATCAAGCCCACTTAGATGCTTTTATTCAAGCATTACATCAAATACTTGAGCCCTTAGTTGCCACCCAGTGAAGACACAAGAATACCACCATAGGTGTTTTTCCATCCCCAGACCATGGACCAGAGTTCTGCAGTGGAAGGCAAGGCAACCCCAATTGTTCTTAATGTCACACTGACCTTCTGCCTCTGAGACCTGGAAGCCACAGCACTGGTGGACATAAATTCTACTGCCTGCTGCTCCAGATCCAAGGGGATAGGGTAGCCCTCTGGTAGAAATCTGTCTCTTGCCTCCTGGAAGAGAGGAAACCTGGATTCCTACAGAGCTTGAAATGGACATTATAGACTGGAGGGGGGTGGTGGTGGTGGTGAGACTCAACAGCTGTTCCACACATCTGGCTCAGCTGGCCCTGCTGAGGTTTCTAATGTTGAAGGATGCCTTTAGATGGGATTCAGGGGTTTGTGAGTTTCAGAGCTCAGGCACTGAGGCTGACTGGTGGGTTCAGGCCACTGGAGCCCCATGTGAGAGTACCCGAGGGCTTCTGGGTGGGAGGCAGCACCAGGTGTGAGCACAGTGCTCTGAGTCACTTTAAATGCCCAGAGGATGACACAGAACTGTCCAAGCCACTGGCCGGACTGATTAGCAGTCCTAAAGGTCCCAGGTCCCAGGGACACAGATGGCCCTAATAAGTGCACTTAAGCACTCAGACACAGTGCAGCCCACACTGCTGGCTGCAGGCGGGGGCCAGGAGGAACACTTAGAGTTGCAGCTTACTTTGCTCACAGGCTTCTCAGGGGTCTTCGACACCTCGGCTGGCTTTCCCTTCTTGGATGGTGTTCTCTTGATTTTGGGAGAGTGGAATTTGTCCATCAGCTTCATGGTGAAGGAGGAGAGATGAGAACGCTGAGAGTCTGAAAGCACAGAGGCCTGACTGTTAGAGGAGCAGGCAGGAGAAGCTGCAACTGTGGAAATGATGAGGGACAATTCAGAGAAAGGGACACATGGACCAGTTCTTTTTTCTTTTCGAGACATTGTTTCTTTGTGTAGCCCTGCCTGTCCTGGAACTCCTCCAGGCTGGCCTGGAACTCAGAAACCAGCCTGCCTCTGCCTCCCGAGTGCTGGGTTTAAAGGTATGGGACACATTCTAACACTCTGCTTACATGTAACCACTGTTGTAGTTTCTCCCTGGTTTAGGCAATTAGAATGGTGAGTAATTAAGGTAGACAGGATGGGTATTAAGAAGAACTTGCATTAAAATGTCAGAGTGCCCTTGTCAGTTCCGTATGAGCATCTAATCAATGTCCAGGAGACGCAGGAAGAATACACATGGATTCAGAGAGATGTGGTTGTTAAAAGCTAGCAGGGAAACCCTCTGGAACGGGTCTCCTCAGCCTTTGGTGGAGGAAAGTACAAGTGACACAGGCCAGGTCCTAAAGGTGGCAGCAAAGACAGAAATGGAGGCAAGGTGTCCAAACTGTTCTGGTCTAAGATCAAAGACTGACTGATGTCCTTAGAGCAAGACAAGTCAAGGATGTCTGCTCTCACTGATCCTGGGTGATGCCAGACTAGAAGCTTCTTATAGGATAATTAGTAAAGAGGAAATAGGTACTCTGCTCAGAAGGATGATGTGACACTTCCTCTGTGTCTGTGTCTATTTTAAACAGGGTCTCACTGTGGCTCAAGATGGCCTCTTGGTGAACCTGCCTTGGCCTTTGGAGTTCTGGGTCACTGGTATACAGTAGCACATCCAGCTCTCTATTTGCAGAGATTGTTTTGTGTGTGGAAACTCTTAAGCAACCCTCTGAAGAACTTTGCTAGCAGTAGGTATGAAGACAGCTTAGTGGTTCCTTTGTGTGTGCACGGCCTGGGCTTTGCTCCCTGAAGCATAGTATGATTAAGTAAATAAAATATGACAGCTTCATGCAGTGGCACATCTAGCAGGCAGAGGCAGATAGAATTCTGTGAGATCCAGGTCACTCTGGTCTATATAGGTGGGTTCTAGGCCAGCCAGGGCTACATAATGAGATCCTGGCTCAAAGCAAAAAAAAGCAGAAACTATCAGTATTAACAAATTCAGTAAGGCTGCAGGATACAACATTAACATATAAAAACTAATTTTTTTATATAGTAGCAATGAACACAATGTAATTTTAAAAAACCTCTCAATCATATCAGAAAGGACGACAGGCTTGGACATAAATTTGACAAGAGAAATTTCCCACTTATACTCTGCAAACTATAAAACAGTGCTGAACTCAGAGACAACCAAACTATGTGGAAAGCATCCCATGTTCTAGGATCAAAAAGCTTAATACTATTACAACAGTAATATTTCCCAATAACAACCTGTTATCCCTGAGAATCCTGCTAGCTTAATTCTTTTGGTAAGAGCTGACACTCTAATCCTAAAATGAGTAAGGAAATATGAGTGATCTAGAATAGTCAAAACACATAGCAAAGCTGGGGACATGGATACGTCTCAATATAAAAATTAAACACATTTATCAAGATAGTCCAGTACTAGCATAAATAGAGACACATTGATCCAAGAACAGAACTGAGACTCCAGAAATACATCCACATGTCTAAGCTAACTGATTTCAGTGAGGACACGCAGACCACTGAATGGGGAAGTAACAGTCATTCCTTCAAGCAGTATTAGGGCAAGTAGGCACTTGTTTGTAAAAGAATGAATAAAGGCCCCTGCCTTACACCACATGCTAAAAGGAGCTTTATATAAGTGAACGATCGAAATATAACAGTTAAAGCCAAAGCAAAAGAGTTAAAGCACTCAACAGACGTACAGGTTTTGTGGCCTTGGATTTGAGTTCACTCTTTGCTGTAACACCCAAGACACGAGTAACAGAAATAAAAATAGATAAGTTAGAACTTCAACATTAAAACCTGTGCTGGAAGGACTTCGGTAAGAGAGTGGAAAGACAGACTATTGGCTGGAGAAAATATTTACAGATTATATATCCGATGAGGGACTGCATACAGAAAGGAAGGAACAGCATTCTGGGGGACTGGTGTATACCTCCAATTCCAGTACTCTGGAGGCTGAAGGACCAAAATTACAAATTAGAGGCCAGCCTGGGCTACACAGCCAGATCCTGTCTCAAAAGAAAGGCAAACAATTAAGCAAACAAGGAAGCCACTGGGATTTCGCTAGGGAGGAGCTCTCAAAAGAAAGGCAAACAAACAATTAAGCAAACAAGGAAGCCACTGGGATGTCGCTAGGGAGGAGCTCTCCAAGCTCAGCCCTGGCCCTGCACTCTACCACACACAGCAGTAGTAATGCAGTGAAATGCCTCCATGTCAGCAGCAGCAGACAAACCTTACAATGCGCAGAAAGGCAGAAAGACCCTTTCTCAAAAAAGCCCAAATCAAACGGGAATAGTGAGAAAAAATGTGGCTGTCGCAGAAGCCTGAAACAAGTGATCCCCAGAACCCTCATGGAAAGGAAAGCCAGCTTCTGTTCTCAGACCACATGTGTGGACACATCATATACACAATAAATAAATTAATAAAATAAAAAAAGAATTTGAAAAGACATTTCTCCAAAGACATATTGGTTATAAGTACATAAAAAGGCGATCAACATTTGGGCACAGGTAGGAGGCCCTGGGTTTGATCCCTAACACTGAAAAAAACAAGCAAGCAACAACAAGCCAAACACAAGCTAATCAACATTCCTAGGCAAATGTAAATAAAAACCACTTACATCCAGGAATACTAAAATCAACAGTCACTGCCAAGTGTTGGTAAGGACTGGGTGAACTGGAAGCTTTATAGGCTGATGTAGGAAATATAACAGCTGTACTGACAAACTCCTGGCAGGTCCTCAAAATACCAAACACACCATCCTAGCAATTTTATTTGTAGGCATATGTTCAAGAGAAGTGAAGAGAAATATCTATATGGAGTGCACAGGAGAGTTCAGAGCAGTAAAGGGGTGAAAATAACAAATGCCCAAATGCCTGTGAATGAATAAATAAAATGTGGTAGATCCTCCCAGTGGAATGGCATTTGGTAATAAAAAAGAAATTAAGTCCTGACGTTGCAACAATAGGGATAATCTTGGAAACAATATGCTAAGTGACGATGGCCAGACAGAAAAGACCACTTGTTGTGTGATTCTATTTGTCTGAGATGTCCAGAATAGTTAAGTCTACGGAGACAGAAAATAGATCAGTGGTTGCCTAAGACTTCAGAGGGATCAGAGAAGGATGGAGAATGACCACTAAGAAACATGGGGTCTCTGTGGAAGAGCACAGATAACATCAGAGCCTGATGATGGTGGCACAAGCCAGTAAATCACTAAAGAACTCTCTCCATTGTACACTTTAAGTGAACAAATGATGAGACACACAGATGACATCTTAACAGAGCCGACAAAAACAACTAACCAAACCATTTGGCAACTTCAGTCTGCAGTCACCTTTCTTATTATCCTCATTAGGGCAGCCCAGGTGAGGGCAGCACCTTTGATCTCAGTACTTGGAAGACAGAGGCAGGCTGATCTCTAGGTTCAAGGCCAGCTTGGTCTACAGAGTAAGTTTCAGGATATCTAGGGCTAAACAGAGAAACACTGTCTCAAAACCAAAGCAAATCATCCACATTAGGCTGTTTCCTGACAGGAATACCAGTTCCCTGAGGGCCATACCTGTTGTGTTTTGGTAGCTGACTCACAGAAGATGCTCAGCAAACAGTTCTTCAACAAATGAACAGATCAATCACCAGATACCCCACCCCCTCAAGAACGCAACACAGCCCTGCAGCTTTCAGCAACAGCAGAGAGCCACAGAAAAAATACAACTATTTGTAATACTTAATACTGGAAAACTAAAGAACAAAACATTCTGTACGCCATAGGGAAGTAAGTTATCTATAGTTTAGAAAAATAAATTGTACTCCCTCATTTTAGCAATAAATATCCAGCAATTTATTGCTAAAGTAAGAGTTGTCCCCAAACAAACAATGTAGTAGCTGCATTTCAGGGCTGTCACTGTCACACTGCTGCACACAACTTAAGATCAAAGTTAAATTTCTTAGTCAAAAACATTCCAAGTGTTCAAGCAGGATCAGATAAACTGTGGCCTCTGAAGATCACCAGGGAGCCCAGAAGACTCAGCACCACACAGAAGAGCCTCTGGCCCTCACTCAAGCGCAGGCAAACCAAACCCTGCCTCAGGCTGGGTGCTGCAGAGCAACAGGAAGCCCTTGCTCTCCAGGGCAGAGATGACACTAGCTGGAAGGAAGCCCATCTGGCCCTTGGAGGTCAGAGGAGATGAAGTAGAGTGGTGGGATTTTCTGGCCCTCATTCCTCCCCTCAATCCCCAGCAGCACAGGGCAGGTCCATTCATATTGACACTTCATTTGTCACATGTGAAGGTTGTGAAGTAAGTCATAATAGAACAGTGCAGAACTCGGAGTGATGGAGCAGAGGGCTTGGTCAACACACTACATGTGCCTCTCTAACTCTTCAAACTCATCTCCCCTCTCGTATGGAGACTGACAACACGTGCCAGAGACACGGCACTTCCCATGCTGAGCACAGCCTATGCAAGGAAGGGAGTAACTGACGTTCTACAGTGACCTTGCACTGCTGGAGGTCCTTAGACACACATATCTACTAAGTGATAGGAGACGCTTGACAGGCAAGGTCCCTTCTCTCCCCAAATACATAAACACAGAGATACATCAATTAAGTTTTAAAGATTATTTAATTTTATGTATACGAGTGATTTGCCTCATACATGTATAAGTATATGTACCTCATACACACCTGTGGGAGTCAGAAGAGGGTATCAGATCCTTTGGAATTGGAGTTACTGTAAATTACCATGTGGTTGTTGGGAATCGATCTCAGGTATTCTCTAAGAGGAAAAAGGTGCTCTTAACCACTGAGCCTTCTCTCCAGGCTCATAGGTAAATTAGTCTTTTTCTTGAAAGTGTGTGTAATGCACCTAGTTCACAGAACATCATAGCCCAGGCCAGGTCAGAACACTTCTGTCAGCTGTCCTTAAAATTCACTTCTGACTTGTATTTTTAACTAGAAATGGGCACACTGTGGAATAACTTCACTTATCAACTAGCAAGCCCAGGGTAGCTGTTCAACACAGAAGCAAGCCTGTCTACAGAGTTTTGTGGGTGCAGGGTTAGTCATACTCTGAATCTTACTTCCATACAGCCCACAGGTTATCCTCTGGTACTAACACGTGGCTCACTCTCCTGATTAGAGGGCTCACCAATACTCCCTTCTCTTCACTTACAGGAAAAGGTGCACCTGCCCTGTATCAGTTTCACTGCTAGTCCATCCATCCCATTCCTTCTGACGCTGGTTGGCCTTTTAACATCCTCCAGAGAGCACACAGCTCCCAGACAGGCTCAGAGCTGGATGGGATATGAAAGAAATTGACTAATTTGTCCAAGATAGGCTGAGAGAAGAGAGACAAGCAGGCTTGAAGGGGAAGTCTGGGGCAGGTTATATATTTCTTGGGTTTACTGTGGTGATCAAGTTCCTCAGAGAACTGAGGTGAACTGGTGAGCCAACTTCCTCTTCTCTAGGGTCTGCTGCCCTAGGTTCTGTAAGGAGATGTAGGGTTAAGGAGCTGGCCAGACTCGCAGCCAACTCTCATAACTAAGGTGGACCAACGTGGGAAGGAATGTAGATGGCACAAACCCCCCTGAGGAACATGAGGGCAAGGCTGGCCCTGACCATGAACCAGAGACACCTACTCCTGATAGATGCCATCAAAGCCAGAAAGTGGGTAACAAACTTTACTTTTGCCTGCCCTGGTCATGAATATGGTTTGACTGGGAACACAATTGGGGAGCTGTGGTGATAGTTTGAGGCACCATCCATCAATACATCACTCTTCTAAGGCCAGTTAGTGGGCACAAAACAACCAGCAAGTCATGTGGAGAAACAGATGCTATTGCAATGACAACCAACCTTCCATCCCTGGAACTGTGCTATGGTGTACAGATGAACACTGCTCTAACGACCACAGTGGCACAGTAGGTGGAGGCAGCAGGCGGCATCTGTTGCTAGGTCGGCTTGTCCACAGCTCCAGTCACAGGCGCTCACACTCTCTGCCTATCACTGGAGTAGGGGCAGTGCCAAAGAGCTACTCCCACAGTCTAGTAGCTCAGGTGGCTCCTGCTCTCCTACTGCTCCCTGTGGTTCACGCTGGGAGATTACAATGGAGATTTGGTAAATACATTTAAAAAAAAAAAATATATATATATATGTATGTTGTCGCTGTCTTCATACACACCAGAAGAGGGCATCAGATTCCATTACAGATGGTTGTGAGCCACCATGTGGTTGCTGGGAATTGAACTCAGGTCCTCTGGACAAGCAGTCAGTGCTCTTAACCACTGAGCCTTCTCTCCAGCCCCTGTAAATGCATCTTTGTAAAGACTTTTTAAGACTGAAATGAAAACAAAAAAATTTAAGTACTGCACACATATAGACAGGTTACTACCTGACAAATAGCACTACCTTCATGCAATGATGGTGTGGTTCATGCCATACTAACATGGTGACCACTGGGTGGTCATGTGATGGCTTGAATGAAAATGGCTCTCATAGGCATATATTCAAATGCTGGATCCCCAGTCAGCGGAAATGTTTGGGAAGGAGTAGGAGGTGTGGTCCTGTTCCAGGATGTATGTCAATCAGGGTGGGCTTTGAGGTTTCAAAAGCCCACAGCATTCCTAGTTAGCTAGTTTGCTTGTGCTCTCTCTCTCCCTCTCTTTCCCTCCTTCACTCCCTCCTCCTCTTCTCCCTCCCCCTCCCTTTCCCCTACCCCTCACTTGTTCCCTTTGCTTGTACAGATGTAAGCTCTCAGCAAATGCTACAGTGTCATGCTCACTGTCATGAAGGTCGTGGACTCCAACCATCTGAAACTGTAAGCCCCAATAAAGGCTTTCTCTGTAAGTTGCCTTGGTTATGCTGTCCTATCAGCAAATGAAGAGAACTGTATTGTTGTGTCCCTGTATGTTATACAGCCACACAGGAGGATGGCACAGCCACAGGAGGATGCACAGCTACACAGCAGGGCACTGCTCTGAAGTTTCTTTGCCAGTGCCACTCTCTTGTCACATAGGTAGCCACCATGTGGTTGTTTGGACTGTGATCCTTCTTTTTTAATTTGCATCCACATGTGTAGTTTAACTTTAAAATTTGTGACCATCACACAAAGTAGTGTTCTGTATAGTTTCTCTATAGACCTGACAGCAACCACTCAGATGCATATGCATTCTTGTTTTTGTCTGTTATACTGTTTTGTCTGCTTGCCTTCCATGGTCACTGGGTTGCTCTTGGCTTTGGCTTTATAAACAATGCTGCTGAAGACATACTCAGTGTGTCTTTTGGCCGTGTGTGAGCAAATCCTAGGAGTAAAACTGGCGGGTTGCAGGGCATGTCCCTTATTTCACTTTACAGACAGTGTCAAACAATTCCAAGGGGCTGTGTGATTTTACAGTTATACCAAAAAGGTTAAGGGACCCAGGTGCTGTAAGCTGGGGGCTGACACACACACACACACACACACACACACACACACACACACACACACCTGCTGAACCACAGGGTGAAATGCTGGAACATTATGACTTGGAGAGTCTTGAAAGGCCACTAACAGAAGCTACGGTTTCTCATAGTGCAGCAGGGCATTTGCATCAACAGTTAGGTTTCCAAGGACTAATGCTAGCCTTTTTCTCCCTGGAAGAGCAGCTCTTTAATCTCTGGGTAAGTGCAGCAGTGCCACTAACACTCTCTTGGACAATTCATAAGCTGCATGTCCCCTATCTAGGGAGAAGAAGGGTGAAGGTGAACACCCAGCATACTCACAGGATCAACCTCAGCAAAATCTCAAGCTGACTGACCCCCACAAAGTTGGCCAATTTCTTCCAAAGTGCCCTGCCTGCTGCCAGGATTTCATTCTTAGATCTTCAGCTTACCCCTCGGCAGGCTTAGCAATGTTGTCTGTCTGTTCCTGACAAATGTGCGATCAACTGGCCTTTCAAATGTCATTTGCCGTGGCAGCTGGGATCCCAACTTAGCAGCAGTTTCTGTCAGGGCTTAATTCCATCCTGAGATGGGAAGCCTCTAAGCAGCATCCACACCGAGGATCACAAGTCAAGGTCACTGTGGACAGGACTCATGTAGCAGTCCCACAGTACCTGCGGTCAGCCTAGAGATCTGACCTTTGGTTCTTGCTGCCTGTCCTGCACTGGGCTCAGAGTGTATCCCTAAAAGGATTTGGAGATGACTTACTTCATCCGACACCCTTGCCCCTGCCAGGGGAGTAAGGGCAACTGGGCGGACAAGTGTTTGGAGGATACTGGGAAGAACTTTGAATATAAGGACTTCATTTTTAAGTATGCAAGGATCTTGCACATAGTGTTGTAGGGATGAAGCTGAGTGGGCAGAGAGTATCATGGGCACTTCAGGACGCACTCTGTGGAGCTGGTAGTGTGGTTTAACCCAAGCTTGACCACTAGTGTGGATACCTCTCTGAGCCTTTTTCACTTCTCTTTTCTACCTCCTCTTGCCTAAAAAAAGGACTAACTGCAGCCCCACTTCTTCCTCTGGTGACCGTGGGGATCTCAAAGGTGACCCTGTGGGTGAAGGTGGAGACAAGGAATCTGACCCAAAGCAGGCACTTACTGTCATCTGGTAACATCTCTAGACCTCTGCCAACACTCAATAATCAAAGGCTAAAACCAGCCCCAGCTGAGGGAGTTGAAAGCAAGACTTTCCACATTAAAAGACCCCTGTCTTACTCAGCACAGAGACATTTGCATGAGGACAGAGGGAAGGCGGTGTTTGAAGTTTTGCAACCCCAAAGGTCTGTCCAACATCCGACACCTACACCCGTGGATGCTGAGCATGGAAATGCTGAGCTCATTATTCAAATCCAAGCACTGAAGAAACGTGGATAGCGGGAACCCCTCCTGGCTTCTCATAGTGCCAAGCGGAAATTACTATACTCTTGTGTTTCTAAGATTTATTTTTAATTTATGTGAGCCTGTATGGCATGTGTATGTTCTGTACACAGAGGCCAGAAGAGGGCACTGGAGTACCCGCAGCTGGAGTTACAGCTGACCATGAGCTGTGCACCATGGGTGCTGGGAAGCAACTTGATACAGAGCAGCAAGCGCTCTGAACTGATGAAACATTCCTCCAACTGCTCCCCTTGAATGATTTGTTTTTGTTTGTGTGTGTGTTGGGGGGAGGGGTTGCCATGTGTGCGCTGCTGCCTTTAGAAACCAGAAGAGAAGGTCAGACCCTTTAGATGTTAGAGGTGGTGGTCAGTCAACTGACTGAGTGCTAGGAAGTGAACTCTGGAAGCTCAGCAAACACCTTAACCATTCACCTATCCCTCCAGTTCAGACTGCGAGTGCGTGCATGCGTGTGTGCGTGTGTGTGTGTGTGTGTGTGTGTGTGTGTGTGAGTGTGTGTAGTCTTTTTCCCTGTTTCTTTTCTTTGTTGAGTCAAGGTTTCTCTGTGTAGCCCTGGCAGTCGTAGAACTCACTCTGTGGACCAGGCTGACCTCAAACTCCCAGAGATCGATCTACTTGCCTCTGCCTCCATGTGCTGAGATTTAAGGTGTGCGTCCCTACACCCAGACAATCCTTGTTTGTTTGTCTTTTTGTTGTTGTTGTTTTTCTTTTTTTTAACACAGAAATGCATTATGGATAGTTTCCTATATGTCCAATTGTTTGACAGGTGAATAATGTTCTGCTGGAAGGCAGATGACCCTCCACCTAAGCAGTGAGTCTCCTGGCTGATGGACTCTTAACTCCTATATGAACATACAACTCATTCCTGCATCTCTGTGTGCTTGCACAATGAAACTCTGAGAAATAGAATTGCTAGTTTATATAAAGAGAAGAATGGGGAATCTGGAAAACTGCAGCCAACGGCCCCAGTGGGGCTCTGAGTGGCAGTGGGAGTGAGATGAAGAGGAGAAGCTGGACCTGCAGCCCCCATCCATCACCATGTGTCTGCGCTCAAATCTGACCTCCTCTATTTCCATCTCACGTACGTAACTACACCAAGAATTAGATGAGATAGCAATCTCCCAAGATGAGATACCTGAATGACCAATGGGCAAATGGTTCAGTGCTCAACTGCATTTGCAATCAGGAAACAACACATTAAAGCCATAAAGATAAATCACTACAACCATACCCCTGTGGATCAAAGGAAACGCTAAGCCAGGTATGATGGCACATGTTTGTAATCCCCGAACCAGGAAGGTGGAGGCAAAAGGACTAAGAGTTTGAGACCAACTTGGGCTGTAGTACAAGATCTTGTTCCAAATCAAACCAAGACAAATGAAAAGGAATGGAAGGAGAGGGGGAGCTGGGTATGTATCTGAAGCTATGCCCCTAGTTTACCACAAAACACCCAGAGTATGAAGTATGAAGAGTAAGTAGTTTTACAGGGCGCCTGCGGACAGCAGAGGAGTAAATACAAGCACATCCAGGAAATGGAATCCCACCCCACATGAGAACGAACCATCTATTCCTACCTACCTAGCACAGATGACTCACACAAAGAAAGACACAAGCCAACCGAGCATCTACACAACCACAACACCAGGCAGAGCGAGGCTACTGTCTGGGGAATCAAGAGAGTGGTTCCACTTGAGGTAAGGCTGCTATCTGGCAGCAACACAGGAGGACACACACTTCTGGGGACACAGGTCTCAGTCTCTAAGTTCTTTACATGTCTGTCTTCAATGTGTCTCTCCACACTGGCAGGGACAAAGCGTCTAGGCTTGAGGGTCCATGTCAGAAAGCTCCTGGCTTCAAAGCCTGCGCTGACCCTCAAGGCAGCTACGGTCATAGTCTGCTCTTCACTGCTTACTGCCGTCCTTCCTATGTTCAGGGCTGGGAAAGGGACTTCTCACTCGACCCTTGAGACCCCAACAGTAAAAAGTCTTACTCACTTTGGACT